CAAGGTTGCTCTGACAATGTGTGTTACTCTGGGTATGCCTGAATGAATCCTCCTATGTGACATGGGATTATTGGGTCAGCTCTTTAGTGACTCAGTGAGTCGATGGCCTTCTACTCCAAATCCATTTAATTTTTTAACCAAAACGTTACATAAACAACTGGGTGAGGGGCTGGAGAGATACCCCAGTGGTTAGATCACTGTCTTTTCTTCCAAAGGATCATGAGTTCAATTCCTGCCAACCACATGGTGGCTCACAGCCATCTATAATGTGAACTGATTCCCTCTTCTGGCAGATGTAAATGCAGATAGAACACTCATACACATAAAATAAATTTAAAAAAAAAAGAAGAAGAACCAGGTGAGGCAGCACACGCCTTGTAATCCCAGCACTCAGAGAGGCAGAAGGCAGAGGCAGGCAGATCTCTGGGAGTTTGAGGCCAGCCTGATCTTAAAAAAAAAAAAAAAAGGTTATAAGATGCCACACACCTTTAACACAGATGGATCTCTGTGAATTAAGCTAGCCTGTTCTTTAGAGTGAATTCTAGGATGGCCAAGGCTATACAGAGAAACCTGTTTTGAAAAATAAAACATTATTCAAAAAGTCGTAGAGCCTAGGTTATGTTGTTGCGGTAATACCAGTATTCTGAACCAGTTAAAAAACAAAAAAAAAAAAAAACAGTCTCCTAGAGACCAGAAGAGGCGGTGAGCCCTCGGAACTGGGGTTGCAGAGGATTCTGCGTCATGCGGAAGCTGGGAACTGAAGAACAGCAGTACTCTAATGGCTGAGTCATTGCCCAAACACCCATTCTAAAAAGATTTCAAAGAGCAAAAAAGTTTTGCTTTTTTGCCTTTAACCCACCACCACTTATGGCTATTTCCTCTGGCATCTAGCTCTGTATTTGAAGCAAAATGCAATCATACTGCTTCCCCCCCTTCTGTAGTACAGGGAATGGAACTCAAAGGGCCTGGCACATGCTAGCAAACGCTGTACTACTGAGCCACCTTGCTATGAATGTGGTAGGTGAGGCCTGTCTGCTCACCCAACGTCTCTACGTTTATGAGTTTTCCTTAAGTGCCCTCAGTAAACTTTTTTCTAGACAGGACCTCTATGACCCTGGCTGGCCTCAAACTCGAGATCCTACTGCTTCTTGAGTTCTGGGATTAAAGGTATATGACAGCGCACCTGGGCTGACTTTTTTTTTTTTGAGTAGGGTCTCTCTACATAGCCTGAATCCAGAGGTCCAAGAAGTGCCACTGCCTCCCAGCTGCACAACTGCCTGTCCCTGACTTATTTTACGTCAGCACCAGGATTCTCATTCTTCTATGGCAATTTAGCACCCCTATCACATGTTCCCTGAAGAAGCTGAGTGGCTCATTACTTTGTCTTCAAGTCAGGCTCCCTGCCCACATCTGGCCTGGGCCTTTCTGTCTTGACATTTTCTGAGTTCCACTGGGACCGTTCTCTGAGCCTTGTGCCTTGTTACGCCTTCATTTGAAACAGAAGTGGCTCCCTAAAAAAATAGTGAAAATGAACCACAGAAACTGTGTTCAAGAACATGCCTGTTCTGTTTAGAGAAATGCAAGTGCACTAACATTCACCTTCTCCCCTTAGGGACTGGTTTGGCTGAAAGACAAAGATGCAACACACTGTAAGCTTTGTGAGAAGGAGTTTTCACTCTCCAAAAGAAAGGTAAGAGGGGTGAAAGTGAGTCCAAACATTTTGGCAACAAAAGCGGCTTCTAATTCAGACTTCTCCCCCTCCCCCCATAATTTTTTCGTTTAATAGCACCATTGTAGAAACTGTGGAGAGATTTTCTGTAATGCCTGCTCTGACAACGAGCTGCCTTTGCCTTCTTCACCAAAGCCAGTGCGAGTCTGTGATTCCTGTCACGCAATGCTCATTCAGAGATGCTCCTCGAACGTGCCATGACATGGGAACTCCACCCTCCCGAGAAGCACCTGCAGTGAGTGTGAGCACCATGTGTACAGCAGTGTCCAGTGGGCACTGTACCTTTCCTCCAGCTAACACACAGGTCTCTACATTTATGAGTTAGTATTCCGTTCCTATACTTACTCGGACTTTAAGATAGCATGTTTTATCACTACTTGGAACAATCATGTAACCCTAAACGAAAGACCAGATAGCAGAGCTAATGCACATTTGCCTTACCTTGTAGAGGCCTCTTGAGAACAAGGCCACAGCTTATTTGCTTCTGAACTTCTAAGACGGCACTTGATGGTTGGTGCCTAGTAATCTCTTAATGCACTTTAAAGCTTCACAGTTTTCAGAAGACTGGAAATGCATTCACTTTTATATGCCGATTTAACATCCTCATGTAAAACAAGATTAAAGGCTGTAGTGGTGTTGGACACCTTTGAGCCCAGCCGCTGAGGCGCAGGTAGGTGGGTCTCTGAGTTCAAGGCCAGCCTGGGCTACAGAGCAAGTTCCAGGACAGCTGGGGCCACAGAGAGAAACCCTGTGGTGTCTTGAGGGGGTGGGGGAACAAAGATTGAATCAAAATGGTTCATTTTTGACCATGAACTCACAGACTTCCTTGCCTCAGCTCTGAAGTGCTGGGAGTATAGGGTGCTTCCATAGCAGCCTGTACACTCTTCATTGTCTGGTAAGACTCTAATTTAATTGTATTTATTTGCTTCTTGTTCTCCCCTTTTCTACGATGAAAAGGACCAATGATTTTATACGATACTTTCCTTTTCAGTTGCCTACACCTTTCATATAGTGGATTAAAGGACCAGTGTGATCTGGCCTCCAGGTTTTTCTTCACTCTTTAAGAGAAGTTACATATAACCACCATCCTCATCACAGATGCTAATTTTTGTGAAGGGTTGGCTACCAAAGGAGAAAACATCTTTTCTGGGGAGGAGGGAGACAAAGAAAGACCACAGGCTTTTAAAGATTCTAAGCATTAGCTGGGTGTGGTGGTGCACGCATTTAATCTCAGGCACTCAGGAGACTGAGGCAGGCCGGAGTCAGAAGCCAGTCTGGTGTCCAAACAAGTCCAGGACAGCCAAAGCTACACAGAGAAGCCCTGTCTCAAAAACAAAACAAAACCCCAAAATATTCAAAGCATTAAAATAAGCATTAAGTTGCCTTTGCTATGACAGACTTAGGTTTCCCCTCCTCCAGTTCTCACAGGGCTAACTTCTAGGAACCATTACTTCGCAGTGTTTATGCCTACCCACGAAAGAATTTCGCCCTACCGAATCACTTTTACGCCCTGGTTTCAGTGCCTTTTCCCCCCTCTGCTTGAAAAAAATAAGAAACCTAAGTTATACTGCTGGTTGGTGACACAAGCCTTTAATCCCAGCACTTTGAAGGCGGCCTGGTCTACAGTGATTCCAGGACAGCCAGGGCTACACAGAGAAACCGTCTCAGAAACAAAACAAAAGATTACTTCAGTCTTAATCTTTTAAGTTACTTTAATCATGACCTTTCAGGATCTTAAATATATTTCTGGTTTTATACTTTTAACTTTATAAGCCTTTTAAACTAGAGATTTTATATTCCAAAGGACACTGTTCAGTAATTGGGGGCTTTTTATGCAGGATCTTTTTCATTAAGTTTTATAAATTACCCTAACTCCAAACCAGTACTTATCAGCTTCTGAGGTCAAGCTATGTTAGCTCTGACAAATTCTTAGATGTCCCTTTTGGAAACGGGGAAAATCAAGTTGGCCTCCCAAGCAGGGGAGGACCTTGAACTGATTCTTAACACTTTCCAGCTGCTGAGATTACAGCTGTGTGGTGTTAAGTGTTTGTCACCCCCTCCACCCCCACCCCAGTTTCTCAGTGTAGTCATGGCTGTCCTCAAACTTACAGATGATACCTGCCTGCCTCTGCTTCCTGAGTCGTGGGGACGGAACCCCTGGCTTTGTGCATAATGGCCAGGTACTCTACCAGCAGATAGCTTTACCCCCAGATGTCATTTGCTGAGAAGTGGCCTTGAGATGGGCACATTTCAAGGCTAAACTGGTCAATCCTTAGAATTCTAGATCAGCCTATGCTATATAATATAAACCTGGCATAAAAATTAGAAAAATAAGAATTATATTCTTGAACTGTTTTGTATTGATGGGGATAGACTATTAACATTTTTATGACTGCTGAAAGTGAGCATAAATGAAAATTTTCTAATACTTTATTAAAAACTTGTGTCATTAACATGGGCCTTTTTGGGGGCAGCATTAACTTGATCCCCACTATGTCTGGGATGAAGTTATATAGCATGCTTGCCTATTTTGTGTTAAGGCCCTGGGTTCTCAATTCATAGCACTATACCACCAAAAAAAAAAAAATAATAAAATCTAATCTAAATTTAGGATATCCTACTCATTATAAAACGCAACTTTTATTTTGCAAAACTTCTGTCGTTCCCTTACTTTAGCCAGTAACTACCACAAAGACAAAATCATGGTGCCAAGGAACTGCAACTGTTTAAATCTGTGAATATTTTAAAAATAAATATGAATTTTATAAAACAAAGATTTGAGGAACTAAGAATTATTTTTATTGCTTTAAAGATTTGTTTTTACCTGTTTGTGAGTATATGCCACATGTGTACAGGTGGCCAAGGAGGCAAGAAAAAGGTATTGGATTCACTGGAGCTGGCGTTACACGGGGTTGTGATCACCTGAAGTGGGTGTGCTGGGAATCCTCCTCCGGCCCCTCTGAATGGGCAGCAAGCGCTCCTAACCACCGAGCCACCTTTCCAGCCACCTGCTTTGAGGTTTTAAGAAGGTAACCCTTTTATTGCCTTCTGTGCCACGTGTGCAGACCAAACCTAGTGTGTAGGCACTAAGAGAAAAACGCACTCCCTTTTCTTAGCACAGGGGAAATCATTCCTTTGCAGTCACTTCATTAGAAACCTCAATTTGGCATCTAACAGTACCTGCCTTTGGTGCCCAAGTGCTGGGATTAAAGGCATGTGCCACTATGCTTTCTACCAGTGCTTGACAGCCAATAACCGACACAGTGTTCTAGGACAGACAACATTCCTTTATCTCCCATGTTGACATTTATTACATGAATAACATTTCTAGCAAAAACAATAACAGAGTTCACATTGACATGTTCATTTTGCTCCATTAGCCAATTTGGGGAAAAGCCATATTGATCAAAGTGATAATTAGAAAGCATCTTTTCTTGCTACACAGGGCATCTAACTACTCAAAGCCAGTATCAGATGCAAAATCCGGCTGCAGCATTGTTTTACAATTTTCCTAAATGTAGTCATTTACACAATGAAAAACCCTGTTTTCTTGGGTGAGAAACCAAAAACACAAGAATACACCTATAGTAAATACCTGTGTATTTGCACTGAGTTTGTAAGCTACTCCAACAAACTCAAATTTTGGGAACATTTTTGTATTATGGTCAAGTGCTATGAGGACTTTAAAATCTAGGGCTATAATTTCAACTAATACTCCAATCCCTGGGTTCATAATTCATAACACAATTATAAATATTTAGAATCCAGATACCTCACAGATTATTCAGAGCTATGCTTGATAAATGAGATTGAAATGAAAAGAGAATACAGAATTAGCTTAATTTATATTCCTGTAAGCTTTTTATTTACTGTGTGTCCAGGAGAGAAGTTAAACTACTCAAGCTCCATCTCAGATGCCTGCATATTAAGACTTGCAGTCTAACCCTCTAACATTGCACTATGCTACTTTTTTGAGCTAACAGTAAAAACCTTACGAAGGCAGCTAAGCTTTAGGAGTACCTATATATAAAAAGTAGCAACATCAGTGGTTTGAATATAAAAATTTATTTGAAGTCAAAGGTATGCAACAAATAAAACCTACAGAAAACAGATTTTCCCATCACAACCTGTTGCTTTACCAAATAATATCTTGAAAACACATTCCTTCAGTCATTATAAAGTTCTTGAAATACAAAAGAAATGAAATCTGTAAGAAAGTCTAGTAGACCAGATGTTAGGACTTGTACGTTGTTGGTGGTGTCCTCAGTACATCCCACGCCATCCACCACCACTCATTCCACCTTGCCCATAGTAACCTCCACTGCCTCCACCACGACCTTAGGAAGACATAAAGAACCATCCATCAGGACATATCCATGCACGGTACAATTATCCATATCGAAACGAAGGGCACTATCACAATACAAACATAGTATTACTTACCGTAGCCTCCCAAACCATCAGGCGTGCCATATCCTCCACTAAAGTTGTTCCCCATTCCCATTCTCCCAACAGATCCATATCCTCCTTGATTATCTGCAAATAAAGAGAATTAAGACACCAGGTGATTGCCAAAGTAGCCAACACTGCTTATTTTAAAGTTTATAAACCCAGGTTTTGGAGGGATATAATGAAGCACCAAGGCAGGAGGGTTCTGAGTTTGAAGCCAGCCTGGGCTACAGAGCTAGATGGCACCCACCTCAAGGACAAAACTATACATACCCATTCCATCTCTGCCATAGCCTCCCATTCCAGAACCTCCCATTCCAGAGCCACCTCCAGGGGTAGAGTTCAAGAAGAGTTCAATGTATCGGTGTTCTTTAAAAAAGAGGAGGGGGGAAATGTTAGTAGTAGAGAAAGGAATGTTGGATCAAATGTATTTTAAAGGTCAATTAGCTAGTATTTAAAGCAGGCTTATCCACAAGTATGGAAACTATTTAAGACAGCCACTAAAGTTTAAACATTATTAACAGGGCGAATAATTTTAAGCCCCGGAATCTACCATCAGCAGTATTTTATAAACTGCACACACCTATAAACCAAAAGCATGCAAAGACAGCACTTACGCATGTTGTTCTTATCTTTAGACATGGCAGCCACTGCATCCTCATGGGTCACAAACTCTACATCCGCCTCTCCTGTTGCTCTGCCATCAGCTCCAATATCAATGTGAACTCGTATTGGATTGAGTGGTGAGAAGAACTAGATAAAAGTTATCCATTTTTAAACTCGTTATTTACTGTGAGTACATACCTTAATCCCCCCTAGCCCATTAAAGTCAGCTACTGAGAGTCTCTAAAGGCTGAGCACTGTGGAGGAGGCTGGGTCATTCTTTGCTGCAGAGGTGTAGACTTAGCTTGCATAGGGAAGGTGCACAGACACTTTAAAGTAAGCTAATACTAAACTTTAAGTTAATAAAGTGTGAAAGTGGGCTGACATCAGACTGTAAAGTGATTAAGATTAAAATTAGGGAAAAAAACCTGAAACTGGGGATATAGTTCTATGAGAGAGCACGATTAGGATTACCTTGAGTTTGGGGTTGTTTCAGACCCAACAAACTCCTCCCCGGCTGACTCTAAGAGTTGGGTTTTTGTTGTTGTTGTTTTTTTTTTTTTTAACCTGCTTAAAACGTCATGTACGTTAGCACATAATGGGCACAAAACACCCATGTCACCATCACTACTAAGTGACAATCCTCGCCTGAATCCTAACAAATAATTCCAACATGCTCGAGGGCAAGGTAGGATTCCCAGCCAAGAATAATAAATAACAACACCCACTATAAAGCCACAGTTACTCACATTAGCAATATCATTTTCAGTCGCACGGAAAGGCAGCCCTCTCATGTGCACAAAGTGACCACCATGGAAACCTGAGCTTGCGTCACCAGCTCCACCATAGCCATGTCCTCCCATGCCTAGGTTATAAACCAGTATGGGGTCACGTAAGTACATCCACATCAATCTCCAAAGCAGTGCATTAACCTATCAAAATTGCCTAGCTACTACTGGAAAGTTACCTCATTACTACCGGAACTTTTCAAAGGAAACAGTAAAATTTACTTCAGCATGACAATATTCTTAACTTACCTCTTCCATCTCTCATCCTGTCATCAAAGCCATCATTTCCATAGCCGTAATTATTATAGCCACCATAGTCATCAAAACCTCCATAGCCTGTGCAAATGTAAGGAAAAAAAAAAAACCAAAACATTTCTGAGCCATTTATTAATAAACTAGTTTTCAAAATCTTTTTGTAGTTAACAGTCTTAGCTTCATTAATGTTTGCAGCTTACTGCATATAAGAAAAAGAGTTAACACTTGTGTAAATTTAACCATCCGCAGGATAAATTCAAATACAACATGAAAACCAAATCCCATCTTTATGCCCAGAATAAACATGCCAATTATCTTTATTTCTTTCTATATTAAGTTCTCTACGTGTCAATATGTGCATCAATCAAGTTCCACCAGATGGTCATGGAAATCCCATATTTTTCATGAACAGGTTTTAAAACCTCATAGGTACTGAAATTACTGCCATTTCTGTATTTCTTGACAAAATGTCAGGAATATCAAGAAAATGACAACAGAACCTTTGTTCATTAGATACACATACCACCATCATATCCATCACCTCCTCGTCGCATTCTGTCATACATACTTCCACGCCCAGCTCCATAATAACCCCCTCTTCCTCCTATTGGTCTATCATATGGTCCCGGTCGCTGTCCCAGCAATCTTCTTGGTGGATCATAAAATCCTTTGATTTCACTCCTGCTACTCCTGAAGATCTCAATATACCTATTTAAAGATGTTTTAAGGCACAGGTTTCAGCATAGATGTATTAAAGAGTAAATTAGATACTGGGCAAAATGCAGTAAGTTTGTCTATCTCTAGATACATAACCCAATTTAAATGGCCTAAATAAACCACAAGGTAACATTTTTACACCTACAAACTTAAATAATTAAATATTTAAGTTTTATATAAACAAATGAGTCATTTGAAAACACTGATTTAGGAAAATATTTTTAGTTTGTTTCCTTTAGTACAAGATAGGTAGGAAAAAAACAAAACAGGTGATTACACAAAAACAAATTTAACATCCTACAAAAAATGGAAACAATCTAACTTTAATTTAAACTATTAGCATTATTAACCCACCCAAATCTGTAGTTTCCATGTTAAATTTAGGTAATTATTAATTCTTTAAAACTACCCCAGAACAATATTATTGTTACCCCCCCAATTAATCAATAGTGACCCACAACCCCCAAAAATAAAAATTTAACACCATCCCAAACTCTCCATCCCCACCTGTGCCCTATTCTTTCCTTGTGTTTCCCCAGAGCATTTTCTGCTATCTCCTTTGAAGCAAACTGCACGAAGGCCTCCCCTGTGCTTCTCCCCTGGTAGTCCATCGTCAATGTTATCCCATTTGGCACGATTTCCAACCCTTTAACCCAAGGACAAATACCCCATCAAGGGGAACAGTGTTAAAGGCTGAAACATTCCCATCTGAATCAAATATTTAAAAACAAGTCTAAACAAAACAAAACAAAAGGCTTAGTTTCCCATCACCCCATAATACAAATGGAATATTTTTCAAATATCATTGGATTAAATATTTTCTGTGACCAGTGTCTTAAAATTATACTTCTAAAAGCCCACTAACGAAAAAACTACAAATCATGTAATTGTGCTCCCAATGCTAAGGCATAGCGCATGATATCACAGTCATTCTGTTAACTATATGCACATCAGTCAACGTTTACATAGTGTCTACACATTCTCTACTGCACATTAACTGGAGCACATTTCCCATTTTACTAACATAACCCAGATTATCACAAAATTAAGTTCTAAAATCAAATGGGTTTATAAATTAAAAACCAAGTACATCTAATAAAAACACATAATTAAAACACTAAACTTTGACTATTACTAGAGGTACCTTGAAAGAACTGAACTATTTCCTCTTTGCTGCAACCAAATGGCAGTCCACGAAGTCGCACTGTCCCATCACTAGCGTCATTTGGACCATTATGTTTCATAACCCAATCCATTTCAATACCGCTTGATTTAAATGCTATGAAAATAAAGAAGCACATAAAGCAGTCAATCACAACACGCTCTTACCAAGACGTGAACACCTCCGACATGCGTCACAGCACAGAATGCAGGCAAGGGTTAGACTCCGGAGACAATCAGCAACACACTGTTCTATGAACACTCTTTGGGGTGGGGTAGGAAAGGTGATGAAACTCAGCCCCTCTCCTACCATACAACCTACAGGTCTTTGTCCTCATTCTACACTAATCCTTTTACTTTTCAGACTTCAATCCTGACCCAGGGCTATGCAGGTTTTGTTTTGCAGACAGTGTGTCACAGTGTACTACCCAGTATATACCTAGCTTGTTTCTGTTTTAAAATAGTCTTTAACTTTAATCCTAGCACACCTGAGGCAGACAGGCAGGTAGTGGGTTGGTTCTCTGTGTGTTTGAGGCCAGCCTGGTCTACAAAATGAGTTCCAGAATAGCCAGGGCTATTACAGAAAGAAACTGTCTCAAAACCCAACCAACCAAACCCAAACAACAACAACAAAAAACCCAACCAATAAAACATACAAAAAACAGAAAAACAAAAAACAACAACGGTCTTCTTACTCAGTAGCCCAGGTTAGCCTTGAACTTCAGTACTGCCTCAGCTACGGCGTACTAAGATTTCCTGAGTTACCTGCCCAACTGTAGTGTTTAAGATAATTATGCAAAAGGTGTAAACAGCTGTCCATTAATACTGACGTTTGAGTATTAAAAAACAAAAATAAAAAACAACTATAACCAAGTGAAACTCACGGTCACCTTTGATAGCAATTTGAGGGTAGCATGGCCTACAAAAACCCGTCTTAAAAAACAAAGGAAAACAAGAGGCTACTCAAAACCAAATGCTATGTAGAATATGGTAGATGGTACATGCCCAAGATTGGGAGTTAGGGCAGAAGGACTATGAGTTTGAGACTACAAGGAAACTGCCCCAACAAACATACCCACCAATGAATGGCTTTCAACAATATGCCCCCCCCTTTTGGGTGGGGTCGGGGGAATATTTTTAAGATAGGTGATCAAGAACCAGGCTGGTTTTGAATCACAGATTCTTTCAAATCCTGAGTGCTAGGATTAAAGGCAAGTGTTCCCACACCATATTATGCTCAGCCTCTTTTAAAGTTTATTTTTATTTAATTTTTTTGGTTTTTTTTTTTTTTTTGAGGCAGGGTTTCTCTATGTTGCCCTGGCGTCCTGGAACTAAGAGGAGCTGCCACCTCTGCCTCCTGAAGGCTTGGATTAAGGTGTGTACCACCATTACCCAGCTTCCTCTTACCTTTTTTAATAAAGCGGGTTTAAACAAAATTTACCCAAAAATAATTATGTACATTCACAAGGTATTTAAGAAGCACAGAATCAAGACTTCTCTTCCTCTAATGAGCACATAACCTAGCCTTTCCTTTTAGAGACTAGTGCAGAAGTTCTACAGCTGTGGAAACATACCAGACTTATTTTACTACACAGCTGTAGGAATCCTACTTACCTGAATATTCCACCTTTTCCCTCACTACTTCCTCCCCTGTCAACAATTTTTTTTCGCTTGACTCCTTTAGGCTTGAAGGTTTATCAACACTATTCACTAATGGCTAATTTCACATGATCTAATTGCATTTGTTAGAGACAGCATCTATAGAGAGTTAACAATTCTAATTATCTTAAAATCATAACTTAGCACACTCCTACAATCCTAGCACTGGGGGCTGAAGCAAGAGTTCCAAGAGCTAAAGGCCAGACTCCACCTTAAAAAAGAAGAGGAGGCACTTCGGGAGGCAGACAGATCTCTGAGTTTGAGGCCAGCCTGGTCTACAAAGCAAGTCCAGGACAGCCAGGGCTACACAGAGACCCTGTCTTGAAAAACCAAAAGGTTTCAGGATAGCCAGAGTGACACAGAGAAACCCCATCTCCAAAAAGGGAGGCAGGGGTAGAATTTCTTCTCGAATTTGTGCATCAACAAATGCAGGAATAGCTCGGTAGTAAGAGTAAACTAAATATCTACACAGACCTACCCTTTGATTACATTCTAAACATCTCTCTCCAAATTATTTATGCATTAAAGTAAACCTGCGTAATTTCTCTACCAATGGCTATTAATCTCTACATATCTATATTATGTGGGTTTTATGTACTAGTGACTGAATTTCAAACCCTGCTGAGACAAAAATCCAGGTTCATCTTTAAAGCAAAGCCTATGGAAGGTACCACTCAAGACAGACACAAAATGGCAAAAACACAATTTAAAAACGGACATTATGCTAGGCAATGGGCTTGAACTTGGAACAGGCAGATCTCTGTGAGTGAGGCCAGCATGGTCTACAAATCAAGTTCTAGGATATCCAGTGCTACAAGGAAAAACCCTGTCTCAAGGAAAAGACAAAACAAAAAACTGACAACACTTGATTTGAAAGAAAGCATGGGGCCCTACATGATGGCACTTGCCTTTAATCCCAGTATCTGGGAGACAGAGGCAGGCTGTTCTTTCAAAGTCAGCCCAGTCCACATAGTGAGACTACCTTAAAAAAAAAAAAAAAAAAACAACAGCAAAAAGCCTGAGTTTCAATGGCTCACTATTCTGCCATTCATTGGCTACTTAAAACACTGAGGTTCTGAGCATGGTGTTCAACTATAAAATACAGCATTAGATACAAGAGGTATTGGCACCACTGCTGTACTTTACAACAACTATTTATATTTTGTAGCTCTTCTCTCCTTCAGAGGGAACATTCACCTGTGACAATTTTCAGACATTATGGATCCTGTAAAGCAGTGATTCACAACCTTCCCAATGCTGCAGCCCCTGAATGCACTCATGTTAAGGTGACCCCAGCCATGAATTATTTTCTTGGCTACTTTGTAACTAAATTGCTACTGTTATCAACTGTAATGTGTTTTCTAATGGGTTTTCTTGCTCTATGACCTGGACTGGACCCACATATGGGATTACAAATACTACCACACCATCCTAGGATAGCCCTTCCCCACAATGTGAAGACTATCATCACAAAGAGCAGTGGCTTCTCTTGCAGAGGACCTGGGTTCTAATCCCGCACCCACACGATGGCTCACAACCTTGTCTAAGCCCAGTACCCATGGATATGACGATCTGGGCTTTTTACAGGTACCATGCAGGCATGTGGTGTACATACATATACACAAACAAAACACTCATAAAATAAAAATGGGGGAGGGGGAAGATTAGCATTTCAGTAGCAAAGGTAAGGGAAAAAAGCTCTTTTTTGTGTGTGTAAAACCTACCTAATGCCAGTTTTGCCAGTACCAATAATAAAAGTTCTTTTGAAAACAAGAACTCTCTGAAAAACACTATACTGCTGATAACTTTTATTTAGCAATCTTTCATTACAGTCAATTAGTCTGGTATATGTGCTTGTATATATGTAGGAACACACCCATACCTCAGTGCAGTGTGGAGGTCAGATGAAAAATTTTCATCAGTTCTTGACTTCAGTAACATTTTACTGGGTAAAACAGATTTGGACCACAAACTATCTCACAGGGTGACTTTCCATTCCAAGTCTGAAGACAGTAAGGAGATAGCCTTGCTCTAATATGCCTGTAAACAAGTCTAGAATCCTACCAAAACACGAAGGGCACTCTGCTTCTTTCAGTGTAGGGGCTTTCTCTGTGCCTGTTCTAGCTCCCCAATAATGAGACGGAGACCTGTTACATTTATTGAAAGTCTTAAGCACTTACAGTTGGGCAGATTCTCATCTATTCTAACCCGACTATGCTGGCCTGGTCTACTTCCCGGCCACATGCCTGTTAGCTGCCACCTAGTCTTGCCCAGGACTTCTCCATCTCTGTCCTCCTGGGAATGCAAGTCCCACCTACTCTCAACTGCCCGCTACATATGGTTCAGCTCTTTATTGACCAAGCAGAGATGATGGGGAACAATTTTTACACAACAGTGAGACAGGAAGAGTCTTCAATAGCAATGACAATATCAGAATCTGTTACTGTGAGCGTTTAGTTCACTGCTGGTTCAGCAATTAACAATCTGAATAGACAGATACACCTTAATACAATGTGAATGAAGGTCACCTCTACAACAATCTGCTCTAATACCTTAATAAAGCTTTCAGAAGCTATGTAAAAGTTAGAATACGCCATTTCAACCTTCCTTTTTAGCAAGTGTCATAAACTAATCTCTACTCCACATTAGGAATCCCACTGTTCTCAGGCCCCTAATTCTGGAGCTTGAGACGGAGAGACCGACCAGAATTACATACACAAATCCGTTACATACACAGATGCAGGCCCTTGCTTGTAGCCCAGATAAGTGGATGCTAAAGCACATGGTTTAAGCCTCAAGAGTCCTAGGATAGCCTGGGTATGCAGTGACACACTAGCAGAAAAACTCAAGTATTAGTAGTTAGCGCTTGGTACATACACCTTTTTAGAACGACAAAAGCGTGAAGGACTGTAGTGACAGTCTGACACTAGCAATGTACTAAAATGCGTAGAATATCACTTTTCCTAGATAGATCTCCTTTTTCTAGATAAATATTGGTTTTAAATCTTGGACTATACCTAACAGTTTTCCCATTACTCGTGAGTACTGCTGCAAGCTAACTTTCAGGCCCAGGGTGTCCTTTTCCTTTTTAACCCATCTTCAATGAAAATGACTGACACAGTTCTAATCTAAGGACCAAAACACCTCAGCAAGCACGCGATTAGGCTTCCACTTTATAATAGGCTTATTTTTTGGTTCAAAACATCAAAGTTCGATACTTAAGTTTTAAACATACCTAGCCATTAAATGAAAATAAATATATTTAACTTCCGGCCTTAATTACAAACCGACACATAACACAAGTCTTGGAGAATTAACTACACAAAACCTGACTTATTCACCTCTGCCTAAAAGCAGTACCACAGTTCACCCGGACCCGACCTATCTGAAACATACCCATTTCATCCTACTCCTCTTTACTAGATAAGCTTCTCTTGCAAAATCAGAGTCCTGGTAAACATCTAAGCGTGGGGTGGGGGGACACTTTGGAGACGCGTACGTACTCTTTCCGCAGTTCCAACTCTGGAATATAAAAGTCGGCTAAGCGTCCTTTACCTCCTCCTGGAGACTCTCCGTTTATCTAGCTTGCCCTAGAGACCAGAGCACTAGGGGACGGCCCCCTCCGGCTCCGGCCCGGAGGGCAGGCCTCCGCCGGCGAGCGGATTACAAAGGAGGGCCGCGGCCGCCTTTGTCCTGCATCTGGCAGCGGGGCGCCCTCGTCGTCTCTGGCTTCTCCTTCCCCCAGCTCCACCTGTCTGGTCCCGGCAATCTGCGTCAACAGCCGCTCGCGGCCCGGCCAGCCCAGGCAGTCCGCGGGGGCCGCAGGCCACGGGGGGAGGCCGGGCGCCATTTCCGCCCCGCCGCCCCGCTCGCCGCCCTCCCCGCCCGCCCCCCGGCCGAGAGCGCCGACCCCTCCCGCCCCCGCCGCCCCCGCGCCCCGGCCTTCCCAACACTCTCCGCCAGCCGGAGGCGACCGAGCGGCCCGAGCGGGGAAAGGCGGGAAGGCGAGCCGGCCGCGACCGGCCCCCAAGATGGCGGCGGCCGGGAGCGCGCGGCGGCAGCCCCCCTCCCGGAGGCCGGCCGACTCCACACTCCCTCACCCGCTCCCTCACGGAGCTCCTCGTCCTCCGCCCGACCTCCGCTCTCGGCACCGCCGGCCCAACCTACCCCCTTCTACTTCAGATACCCCGGGGGGCGCTAGCAACGCCGACTCCAACGCTCGCGGGGGGCCGCTCGCGGGCCGGGACGACGGGCTGTCCGCGGGGAGCGTCCTCGACAACGGCTCTTCCCCAACCGCTCCGGGAGCTGCGCAACACGGATACTGGCAAGGGGGGATGGGAGGGAGCGAGCGGGAGGGCGGGGGCGGGGCGAGGCGAGGCGCCAGGCCCGCCCCGCTGCTCTCGCGAGACTTGAGTGACAGGGCGGTCTCGGCCAGTGCGGGGCGAGGCGCGCCTGCGCACTAGCGGCCTGCCTGGCTGCCCGCGGGGTGGGCGCGGAAGAGCGGGCGAGGGGGCCGTGGCGGCCCGCGTGTCTCTGGCTTACCGGCCATCCCTCAGCGCCCCGTGCTCGCGTGTGTCCCTCCCACGGGAGTGCGTGAGTGGGTTCAGAGGAACCGCGGAGGCGCGGCTTGCTAAGGCTCTTTTCTGCTCTACTGGGACTAAATCCCATAAGGGCCCCGCCCTTGCCCAGCGCGGAAGGAAAAGGCTTTTCCTGCCTCCATGTTCGCATTATGCAATCCGAAAGAATAAATGCTTGGCCCGCGAAGACACAGACCTGACAGGATTCCCGTCCTAGCCTGAGCTCTCCCCTTTGCTCTTGTATAGCCAGCCTCGACATCCTGATTGCTTTCCTACCTGCCGTCTTTCTTTTTTTCTCTTCATTGAACCTAGTGACGGATCAACGGGTCAGAGCAGTAGACTTTTTTTTTTTTCTACAGGGTTTCTCTCTGTAGTCTTGGCTATCCTGCTTTATAAACAAGGCTGGCCTCGAACTCACAGCCATCCTTCTGCCTCTGCTGCCCGAGTGCTGGGAGCAGTAGACTTCTAAATAGAGTTTGGTATTCCCGAAAATTGTGCTTACAGGAGACAGGTCTAAGAAACCCTTTCTGAGGTTCCGTCGTGTTACCAAAATTCCTCATGACACCTTTATGGTCCTTTCTCTTAAATTTTAACACAAATGGCACATGGAAGGTCCGTGAGAAGGTAGAGGGCAACCCTGGTGTTAGAGACCAAGATGGGAATGGACAGTGAGGGCAAAGAGGGGATGGGTGTGGGCATGTGCCAAGCAGGACAGAGCAAGACTGTAAACGTGGATGAGGCTAGATTGTAATCACCCTTCAATGTGCCGGTCAAAGATTTCATTATGCTACAGACACTGGGTAATCCATTAGCAGTGGGGTGAGGCCGAGTGGGGTAATGTTAGCGGTGTGGAGGAGGGATTTTGTTTACCATGAGGTTTTGTGTGTGTGTGTGTGTGTGTGTGTTTAGACTGGAGCCAGGAGGCCAATTACTCTCTGGTATGGAAACTTCCATTTCACAGCTTTAATTTATCTTCAAACCTACTTAAATAAGTCTTTAGTGCTCCACTGATTTTAACCCAAAATATCCCTCAGAAAAAGGGGGACAATGTGATTACAATTACAGACAGGAAAATCAAAAGATGTTACAGAAGCTGCAATAGCTCAGGTTTATTAAGAACTTACTGGAACGGCATGGTAAGCAATTCATTGTCTTTGTTCTCGTGTAGCCAAGGATATCCCTGAACTCCTGACCCTCCTACCTCCATGCCATCTGTGTCTCTGTAACCCTAAAGAGTGGTATTCATTGCACAGATGTGGTTTCTAGTCCCATGAAAGTGCAAATAATTGCCAAATATATAAAGCTGAGTGACATTAGGTAACACTAAACTGTTTTGTGGTTACAAGTTAGTGGTTTAGTGGCTGGAGACTTGCTGAAGCTTGGTTAGCCTATTCTTAAATTAATCCCCTAAAGTCTCCCTCCTTTCTTTTAATAGCTGGGGATTGAGTTTAGGGCCCAACGCCTGTTCTCCCTTTAAAAAGTAATTGGTTTATTAATAAAACTCCGAGCTCACACTTAAGATGGATTCTCCTCAGGGCTTTCCTTCCATGGGTTTAAATTACATGGCCTCTTTATCCTTTCAGTTTTTCAACCTGATTTGGTAGGTGGAATTCTGTAATCCCTTTCACTCTTTGACTCGAATTCAGTCTAGTTACTGCCTGAATGAACTTGGCATTCTGTGAACACACTTTGTGTGGTTATGGGCGACAATCCTCAATCATTCTGATGATTATAACATGACTTTTCACCACTCAACAGCGATGTTTCTTTTGGAGGGGGGTTGTTTTTCATTTTATATAGTTTCTTTCTGGTGAGTGCTCTTTACCTCTATAAAGATTTAGGAGGCGTTTGGATTAGTACCTACATTCCTTTTGCCTTTTTATTATAGCAAGTAGGAATTTTCTAGTTTAAATTATGCTGTGGCAAAGATAATTTGTATTAGCTTTTTAGTTCACTAATTTTCTCTAAAAAAATTAAAAGAAAAAGAAAGAAAAGAAAAAAAGAAAGAAAAATCTGTTCCTTCCCCATATGGTTGAACCCTGTTGTAAGGCTTGCTGTGATTGGCTGCCGCTGCTCCAGGGATGGTTACAGATTGTTTCCAGATTGATCTCCAAGGAACTGTTTCCATGGTAATGGTTACACCTCAAGGCTCCCAGCTGCTTTCTTGATCTCCCCTCTTTTTTCTTTTTCCCCTCCCCTTTCCTCATCTCTCTACCACCTCTCACTCCTTCTCCGGTGCTCTCCTGTTAGCACAGACATCAGAAGGACCTGAAGAGGATTTTTTTGTTACAGTTTATAATAAGAGAAAAGATGAAGCAGGAGAAGGAAATGGAATTACCCACACCCCACCGAGGAAAACAATTTGAGGCACCTCGTGACCATGTATTACTCCATCAGAATGGAGAGGAGAGGAAAATTCCATGCAGGGCCTGTGTGAAATGAAAGAGAAAATGGGGAGAGTGCAGCCTCTGGGGCAGACAGCACATTAGCCAAAAGCTGCTTTACAGCTGATGTTCATATATCCCTAACGATACTGCAGAGTGTCATCAACATGGGATTATCATAATCGGTTTGCCTGCATGAAAACAAGCCAAGAACAAACAACCCACAGAAACATTTTGGGGTTGTGTCTAATCGTGTTTAAGGGCTTTGTAACAGCCACTCTGACAAGGCTCTGTGAAGGACTCCTTCTTTGGTTTATGACCTAAATACCTATTGTCTTTAGGAAAACGACCACCTTCTTCAGATGACCACCACTGTTTCTCAGGACAAGGCTTTTGGACACATATTTCATTTTTGAGATGTTGTTTAACTTACTTCACTGGAAACCATGGAAACTAAAAGACCACATCTGGTATGATACTAAGTAAACAAATGGTAGCCTAATGGCTTCTGGGCATCTGTGCTTGACTGTGTATGGAGGCCAGAGCACAAGCATCTTCAGCATTTTTGTTTTGTTTTTTTAAACTCTGTGTTTGTGTGTGTGTGTGTGGTGCAGGGTGAGGGTCAGAGGGCAACTTTCAGAGAGCATTCTCTCTGCCTACCATGGAGGGGAACGGGGAGTCAAACTCAGCGCGTTCGTCTTGGCAGCTCCTTAGACTTGGCAGCAAGTGCCTTTCACCTGCTGAGCCATCTTACTGGTCCTCATATGCCTCTCACAGAGAGTCCAGGACAGCCAGGGTTACACAGAGAAATCCTGTCTTTCAAACAAACAAACAAAACCAAAAAGCTTACTGATATTGTATGTGCACTTGCTCGCGTGTATGCCTGTGCGTCACTTGTGTGCCTGGTTCCCAAAGAGGCCAGAATAGGGTGTCAGAGCCCTGGAACTGCAGTTATAGATTGTTGTGAGCTGCCATATGGGTGCTAGGAGTTGAACCTGGGTCCTCCAAAAGAGCAGTCAGTGTTATTAAGCACTGATCCATCTCTCCAGCCCCAGGAAAAATTGGTTTTCCTATTGTCTCTTAAACAGTGTGCTGAGGGCTAGTCAGATGGCTCAGTGGGTAAAGCACCTGCCACCACGCTAAGCCGACTTCCATCCCTGAGACCCACAACGTGGACAGAGAAAACCAACCCCCACAAGTTGTCCTCTGACTTCTACACACATTTTGTGGCAAGCACATACGTACCCATAACTGTCTGTAATTCCAGTTCCGAGAGACCAGACACCTTTTGGCTTCCTTGGGAACCAGATATGCATGTGGTACTCAAATATGCAGGCAGGCAAAGCACATATACATTTATTAAATATCAAATTAATAACTTTTTATGTTGCTTGACCTCCCAAGTATTGAGATTACAGGTGTGAGCTACCATGCCTGACACAACTGCCATTTTTATTGAGAACTGGATGCTTGTATAAGAAGGGTTTTCATTTTTATGATAACAGTACTGTAGCTTTTGTTTATTTTCTTTATTTCGTATTTGGGCAGTGCTGGAGATTGACCTGAGGATTGACACATGCTGGGTAGGTACTCTACCCAGAAATTGTGAGCTACACATCTTTTTAAATTTTGTGTGAAGGGGCTGGAAGAGTTAGTACGTGGATACATTCAGTGGATTACTTCATAGTTTTCCAGAATTTGGTTGAAGGTTGAGGGTCAGCCTGGAATTTTAATTAAATAATTCTTTTTCTTTTCTGACACAGGGTCTCCTGTAGCACAGGCTGACGTCATGCTGGCACTCTAGTGGACAACCACGAGCTATAGTGATATATATATATATATATATATATATATATATATATATATATATTGATTCTTTTGCCGTCAGCTTCCAAGAAATATGCTCCACTGTGTGTGCTTTGTGGTGCTGGGACTCGATTCCAGAGTTTCCTGCAGGCCAGGCAAGCACTTGACCAATGGAGCTTTACCTCCAGCCTCTAACTGGATAACTCTAGGTACTGTATGGAGGCTGAGTACAAAGGGAGAAGGAGGAAGGCTAGGAGAGGGCACAGCAGAGGTGAGGGGCACTGATACAGAAGTACAGTATTAGGGATGGGGCAGCTGCCAGGGTGGGACACACCAGTAATGCTCAGGAGGAAGAGGTGAAAGGTCAAGGGCAGCCTGAGCTACAGAATGAGTTCCAGGCCATCCTAAGGTACATATCCATTAAGAGCCTGCTTTAAAAAACAAACAAACCGAACAGCCACAAATTTCCTCAAAAGAGTATGTTTTTCAGTGCTGGGGAAATGGTTCAGTAGATACAGAGTGCTTGCTGTGGGCTGGACTGATGCGGAGGACCCGAGTTCCATTCTCAGCAATTACATGGAGTTCCACAACTCCAGTTCTAAAGGATCTGACACCCTGTTCTGCCTTGGTGACACATTAGAAATTAGGGATCTCTAGAGGAGCATAATAGAACTATATGACTCTATCCATCTATCTATCCATTTAACTCTCCATCTATCTATCTATCTATGGATCTGTCAAGGGGATTTATTAGAATGGCTCACAGGCCATGGTCCAGCTGATTTAAAAACTGTCTGTCTACTAACAGAAGATCCCAAAACCCAGCAGTCGTTCAGTCCTTGAGCCCAATGTCTCATCTGGTTTTCATTAGAATAAGTAGGATCTAATACGAGTAAAGGAACGAACTTGCTGGCAAGAGCAAGGTGGCAAAGGGAGAAAAGGAGAGAGGAAGAAAGGGAGAGATTTTTCTTCCATGTTCTTTATGTAGGCTGCCAGCAGAATGTGTGTTCCAGATCTCCCACCTCAAAAGATCCGGATTAAAGGTTTATCTTTCCACCTCAAATATACAGGTTAGAACTGGGTCTCCCACTTCAAATGATTTAATTAAGAAAAAACAAAAACAAAAACAAAAAACAAACCAACCAGTACAGTGGTACATGCCTTCAATTCCAGCACTCAGGGAAGCAGGCAAGTGGATCTCTGTGAGTTCGAGGCCAGCTTGATCTACAAAGCAAGTCTAGGACAGCCACAGCTCCACAGAGAAACCCTGTCTTGAAAAACTAAAAGGAAAAAAAATCCCCACAAAGGTATGCCCATGTCATTTGGGCTTTAGTTAATTCAGAGGTGGTCAAGTTCACGACCAAGAATAGACATCACACATGCCATTTTACTCAGGGGCCTACACTTGCCCACAGTGACTTGCCTGTTGCTTATGCCCAGCCCAGGGTAGCACTGCCCGCAGTGAGCGGGACCCTCCCACACCACGAATCAAGAAACTGCCCTATAGGCTTGCCTACAGCTCCGTCTGTTGGAGGCATTTTCTCTTCCCAGATGACTTTAGCTTGTGTCAAGTTGGCAAAAAACTAAACAGCAAAAAGACATCAACACATACCTACATAAAGATAAATCTTAAAACAACAAAACAAAAAAGAGTAGGCATTCAAATCTCCAGTTATTATTGTTGAATTGGCTATTTCCTTTAGCTCTATCAGTTTTGCATTTGATGCCATGTTAATAAGTATTTTATTATTCTTATCTTCCTCATGGATTGATCATTTTATTATAATGTTTTCTTTTATTATAATGTTTCTAGTAGTAACTTTTGTCTTAAAGCCTATTATATAGTGAGTTGGAGAGACGGCTCAATGGTTAAGCGCTCTTGGTGCTTTCCCAGAAGACCTGGGTTCATGGTGGCTCCCAAAATAATCTGTAACAGTTACGAGGGATCTGATGCCCTCTTCTGCTCTCCTTTGGCATCAGGAACGTTTTTGGTACACAGATATACATTCAGGCAAAGCACCCATATAGATAAAATTTTAAAAAATTAAATCAATAAAGTCACTACGATTTGTTCTCTCTCTCAGTCCTCCTCTGCCCTTGCTGCCCTGGTCCTTCTATCTCCATGAGTCTCTTTATACAGACTAAGATGCTGAGGGTGTCTGAGACACTGCTCAGCTCCACCAGGTTTCCCTTCAGTATTCAACTCACCAGGCTTCCTAGGAAGTGGCTTTCAGGTCACAATCATGAATATGTTCCAATATTTGCAGTCAGGTTCCAGATATGGTCCAGTATACCCCAATCCAGCTCTCCTCTCTGCTGATTTCCTCTCTGACTGTTCCCCCAATTGAGCTCTCTGCTGATGCATGGTTGTTGTGAAGGCAGAGGCTTTCAGGTCAGTGGTGGCACACACCTTTAGTCCCAGCAGCAGAGGCAGGTGGATCTGTGAGTTCCAATCCAGCCAGGTGTAATCAGAGTTAAGATCCTATCTCAAAACAAAAGAAACAGCAGGAAAGTTTTAAAACTACTATGTCTGCCAGCCTCTGCTGCAGAGAGCATGCTAAGAAATACCCTTAACGTCATCCATCAGACATATGGTAGAAACTCTGTCTTAGCTTCTGAGGCTTAGTCTTTTTTTTTTTTTTTTTTTTTTTAATAATCCTCCCTATCTCTCTCTCTTCTTTTTTGAATTGAAAATAAATTTTTTAAAATTTTCTGATCATGATTTTTCTACCCTATTTCCTCCCAGGTCCCCCTTACCTATCCAACTCCACACCTTTTTTCTCCCTGACTCTTTTTTAATTTTAATTTTTATTAATTACATTTTATTCACTTTGTATCCCCCCCTGTAGCTCCCTCCCTCCTCCCCTCCCAACCCCACCCTTCCTTCCCAAGTCCACTGATATGGGAGGTCTTCCTCTCCTTTTCACTGATCCCAGTCTATCAGGTCTTATCAGGAGTGGTTACATTGTCTTCCTTGGTGGCCTGGTAAGGCTGCTCCTCCCTCAGGGGGAGGTGATCAAAGAGCAGGCCAATCAGTTCATGTCAGAGACAGTCCCTGTTCCTATTACTATGGAACCCACTTGGACACTGAGCTGCCATGCGCCACTACTGTGCAGGGGATCTAGGTTATCTCCATGAATGGTCCTTGGTTGGAGTATCAGTCTCAGAAAAGACCCCTGTGCCCAGATTTTTTCGTTCTGCTGCTCTCCTTGTGGAGCTCCTGTCCTCTCCAGGTCTTACTATTTCCCACTTCTTTCATAAGATTCCCTGCGCTGTGCCCAAAGGTTGGCCATAAGTCTCAGCATCTGCTTTGTTATCCTGCAGGGTAGAGCCTTTCAGAGGCCCTCTGTGGTAGGCTCCTGTCCTGTTCCCTGTTTTCTCTCTCTTTTGATGTCTATCCTCTTTGCCTTTCTAAATGTTCCCCTGACTCTTTAAAAAACAAACAGGCAAAAACAAAATATCAAACCAAATCAAGCCAAAACATCATCAATAAAAACCTCAGAAAACAAATATAAAGAAGGACATACATACACACACACACACACACACACACACACACACACACACACCATAAAAACACAAAATCATAACTTACAAGCAAAAGACCAGTAAGTTAAGAAAAGAAAGGCCTAAACAAAGCAACATTAGACAAAAACAACAACAA